ATGATAAAATAAGAGATGGGAATATGCATCAGTAAGTGGAGGTAACACTAATTGGGATAAATTAAGGGATGAGTGAGGTGGCTGGCACATGTCTTACATAGATCTAAAGAATTTCTTGTTTACAAGAGTGATGTAGTCCAACAAGAACATGTGAGAAGAGATAGAGGTAGACCAAAATTATCATAGCTTCATCTGCTGTATGTGAGTGTTTCGTATTGTTTTCAAAAACAGGCTAATTAGCCTGAAGAAATTTGTTTAAAGAGGAAAACCATATGTAGATTCTTAGCAACTTTAGATATCATATTACCTGTATCATTATCTCTAGATGGTACCGATATGCATGAAATATTACATCTTAAAAGGAAACTAGAAAGAACTAGAATCCAGATTGAGAAAGCTTGAGCACGTATCTGAATGGACTGAAAAATTGTAAAGCTTTCTGAAAAGATTATACCTTTGTATATGGTTCTATTGGATTTCAGGTGGCTAATTAGGTCTGTTTTTGAAAGAAGATTGTATAGCTGGATTTTTATTCATTTTTCATTATTTAAGTAGGTCAGGTTTAGGAACATTAAAAGAGAAGATGCTTCTACCAGACAGAACTTGTTGAATGCCCTGAGATTTTGCTACATTAATTTCCTGAACCCTGTCATTTCTGAAAGCTAGGTAGAATTTATGTTGAGTTCCTATTTTTGATCCTTGAAACTAGCGTGGGTGACGGTCGGATGTATGAATTCTGAGGTCACAAGAATATTGAGCTGATATGTTTGAAATAATGGTTTTCGATAAGTAGCAGCAATGTCCCAGAATATGGCACGTTCCCAATTTTCTCTCAACATTCGTTGGTCCCCAACATCTTAATCACCTTTACTTCTAACTTTTGGTTTTCTAGCTTTGGTTTAGGAGGGGGAAATTCCTGTACTACTGTCATGTTAGTGATACCCGACAAGCTCTCCAAATATGACATTCAAATATTTTTCCTCTTGGAGTATGTGATGTATGTAAATTCATACCTTTGGTTGCCTATATGCTTCCGAATTTTTTATTTGCTCACCCTGATGCTCTTCCACTGCTCTCTCGTGTGTATCTAGTAAGGAATTTCACCTAAAAAAGTTTTAGAAGAGTCTTCTTGATTACTCTTTTCACTTAGTTATCCTTGGTGCATAGTTTGTATTTTTCTTTTCACGATCTTCCATGTAATTCATTTTTTCCCTAAATTTTATGAATAGAAAATGCTTTGTTCTTTTGAATTGTCAAAGAAACAAATTTTCTATACATTTGGAATCATTTATATTTTGGATTGATAACTATTACTAGGGCTAGATGTGGTCCAATTCGATTCGGTTCTAATAAAAATTGAACCGTACCCCGAAATTTTCGGGTATTTGGTAAGTGGAACCGTCGAGTCCAAATTTAATTATGGAACTGTTCGGATTCGGTTCCATTCGATTAAGTTTGGTTCAGTTCCCTGATTCCGTATTATAATTGAAAATTATAATATTTACGAAGTTACATTAATTCAACTAATAATATGTTCAATCTTAGCTCTTACAAAATAACGTAGTCCAATCTTATGTGTTTTTTGCGTCTCTCTTTACTGAATTATTCATAGATTTGATTGTTAAAATCATAAAAAGATGAAGATAGCAAACTCAAAATAATCAAGAGACATTGAACTTAAATTCGATTTCTCTAGAACGGTAGAAACTGTAATACGGTAGAGTAATAGATTTGGATAAATTTGATTAAATTGGCTTTGAACTGAAAATCAGAAATAGGAAAATTATATTTTTGGGTTTGAACTAAATTAACTAGTTAGCAACTATATTTAGAAAAATAAAATAATTTGGCTTATATAAAATAAATTAATAAAAATTAGGGAGATTCGATCATTCGGTTCTTGATCTAAAATCGAGAACCAAATTGAACATGTCGGTTCTCGATTCAGATACTTGTTTGTATATTTAACTTAGGAAGAATCGCTCATTTCAGTTCTGGTTCGGTTCCGAAGTTTTGTCCAGCCCTAACTATTACTATGCTAAATTGTTCGGTGAAATTATCGTGCTTGTTGTCATGAATATGAACTTGGAGATTTAGATATCATTGTTATAAGGTGATAATCTTAAATAATTGGAGGATTGATCAGTAGCCTTCATTCCCTTTTATTTATTTATTTATTATTATTATTATTTTTTTTTTTTTGCGTAGAGTTTTAATCAAGTGTGTTCCTTATGCAAGATGGAATTGGAATCAAATACTATAGCTCTTGCCATTTTCATCCCCACTCTTGGGTTGTTAAATAATATTATCGTGCGAGTAAATCCTTTTATGGAGGAGGATGATTGGGACAAAGGACCTCAAC